ATGTGTAGATAGATGTCTTGGATATCCTAAGGCATCTCAAATGACCCTTGGATGTCTCCGTTTAGGCAAATAAATTAATCCCTGAATGTATGAGCTCCTGTTGCAGTCAGTGGAGATCTAGTCAATATGGTTAACGTAGTCTTTAAAGCTGTTCATCTCACAAGAGAGTAAACACCTGGGGTTCAATTCTGCTCAGTTTATCTCTGTGAATATTTAAAAATTATTACAGATTATCTTTAACAATGAGATACTCATCTCTCTTATCAGAGCAACACTTTGCTCTCATTATTTTAGAAAAATACTTCAGCTTATGCTAACTATTTTTTAGAAATATGCAAATGATCTGGGTTGCCTATGGAAACACATGTTCCTTGGCTGAGCGTAAGGCTATGTACAAAAAGAGTTGTTCAGAAGATATATATGTGTATGGATATATAAAGAGAATAGTCTGAGAAAATGGATGTGGATGCTAGAAAGGAATAAGAGTACTGGCATTTATTCCCAAACTGTACTATTAGTATTATTTATAGGGATGAATGAACCTTTAAAGATTACTATTTAAATCTGCTTGGTTTTGAAGTTCAAAAGCAAAATATCTTTAAATACCTTTTGAAATTACAATTACGAGTCAGTCAAAACCCATCCCTAAAAGAATAGTTTTTGTTTTACAAATGAGCAATTAAAAAGTGACAAATATCTTAAGTGCTTAAACATTCTTCTGCAATACTTATTATATTCAAATAATACTTTTTTTGGGAACATGAGTATGTTCCCCAATATTTGTTTGTTTTTTTTTTTTTTTTTCTTTCTCTTAGGAATGCCTCTGGAAGCTCTCTAACTCTAAAACTGCACTCACTTTACCACTGCTGGGGATTATGCAAATTATTTAATGAAGAGTTTAAAATCACATGAATGTTTTCTAGCTTCAGATTATAATATGGGTGCCTATTTTGCTTTCATGTTTCTTTCCTACTGCTTTTACTGTTTTTTTCCCTCTGAGTTTTATTTAATTGTTTAATTTAATTATTTCAACTATTTCTTTCTTCAGTTTCCTTACTAGAGTAGTAATAATTAGGGAAAGTAAACTTTTTTGTACTAGAGGAGCATGTGAAGTCTTGAACTGAGATTATTTCCCTGTTTTAGTAGTTGTTGTTCATGGTAAACATGGCTTAAGGCAGTCAGTGCTCTGAAGAAGAAGCATTCCATGAGCTGATGTGCCTTAACTCCGGAATATTATGTGGGGTTTTATTGTTAATATTTCTACCCTTGTGACAATTTCTCTGTAGAATGTGGCACCACTTTAGCAGAATAACAACATCAACCTCTGAATGTATTAATACTGTGGAAAGCAATTTAGTATTGTATCATTGTAAATTATGTCCCTTTACTAGCAGGTTGTTTTATTATGACAAAGATTTCAATTTTATCTGTTCTTGTGGATGTGAGGATTTATTGTTTGTGCAATGTGCCAGCGTACTTGAGAAATGATGAGAACAGTTCACCAAGAGAATAAAATGTCTGTCTCAGAGGAAGGAGGGCAGAATGAATTCAGACATAAACTGGAAGAAGAAAAAGTGAAAGAAAACGTGATGAGGATGTGGGTCACTAGGTCAAATCAACAGGTCAGAGAGGGCTATCAATGAGAGAATCCTAAATAATAGTTAATGATCAAGGAGAGTCAGTGACCACCACCCTAATGATCGGTAATTTCAGTTTGTGCAGTTAGGGTTTTATTGAAGATTAAAACTCTTGAAATAAATAGGAAAAGACTAAGCATTTCTACTTTGCATTTGAAGTTGGGCCTGAACTCAAACAGGAATTTGGGTTGTGTCCTTAATTTTGGGTTACTCGTTTGCACTCAGGTCTGGGCCTAGCAGTATGTTATGGGAAAAATTCTGGATCTGTACTATTCCTTGGTATAGATGTAATAGCTCATTCACCACCCCTCAGCACGCTTGTCCAGACAACGTTAGTTCGATAAATTGGCTACAGAGTCCTTGCACAAGAGTGTGCACAGGCTTCACCTGCTGCAGACGCCGCTGGGATTTTAGGCAGCTGAAGCTCAAACTTCCCTTATAATATTAAGGATGCACAGCACTGAAGTATTAATGTTGGGCTGAAGTTTATTTTCCATGCTTCACATGCGGATACAGACTTAGGACCTAACAACCAACCCACAAAACAAATGAAAAGCATCCTTGGAAGCAGTCTAATATAGCTTAAGTGTGCTCACTTTGATGGGAGTTCCGATGCCCTCTTCTGCTCTCTGCCTAAATCCAACCATCAGAAAACTACTGAAAGTTGCTTGTTTTTTCAGGACAACATGTTTGGGTGAACACTGTCATGGGAAGTAAAGAACCTAATGAATTCCGGGATCACCAAGTTTAGGTGGTCCTAAAAAGTAAGCAGAATAACTGGGCAGTGTGTTTAGTTAAATATCTAAATTTAAGATAGATGAGATTTAAGTGGATCCTGCCTCCTTCTTCTTTTGGGGTTGCATATCTGAATACATTTTTTTCTTTTGTTGACAGAGTAAATTATGATTATCAGAAGGAAAAAAGTCTTTTAGAGCAGACTGAATGGCCACAGAAAAGCTGTGTCCCTAACTTTTCACTGTCTTACAATGGAATGGAAATACTTTATGGAACCTGTGATAGACTTGATATATAACAGGCCTTTCACGTAATTAAACAATTGTCTCAGTCATGATTTTAATAAGTGAAGTTTTCTCTTCTGCAGTAACTTTAGCAAAATCAGATGCACTTTTCAAATAGATTCTTTATCACAGTCTAATTCTGTAATGCCTCCAAAATGTCCTCCTGGATAAAACAGTATGAAGATGTAGTTAAGATTTAGCTACATCTCTAAAGCTGGGGGTGAGGAGTAAAGAACTGCAGACAGGAATGATGAAGCTCAAGGGTTTTATTATAAAATAAATTTGCTGTCCCACCCCAAGCTGTGTATGCTAGTGTTTGCTTCTGAACTTTGTTACCATATGCCTGTTAAGTGTAAAAAAGCCAAGAATTTGCATACCCTCCATGTTAAAGTGTTGTTAATGAGTATCGCTGACATGCTTCACATCACTCAAAAGTGCTGCAACAGGAATTTTGATAGGATGCATGTGGTAGCCTTACAAGAAACTTGCAAACATACCTGTGCTCACATGCAGTTTTACGTGTACCTATGAGAAACATGGATAAAAATATACTTCTAAGCAATTATTTGGTTAAAGACTCAAAGGCTGTCTTCACAAGGAGCACTTCCCGGCTCACTGCTCTCGGCTCTCTGACCTGGCTGTTGGGATGAGGGCATGCCCTGTCCCCCTTATACATGCTCAGACTTGGGTGGGAAGCAAACTTGGGTATCGGGGACTGTTGGTGTTCTCTAGTTGTGCTCTGGATTTGGACAGTGGCAGGACCACAGCTGCCATTTGTACTGTGCAATGTAGGCAGCGTGATGTGTAAAAACTGTCTCACCCTCTAGCAGTTGACTAAACCTAGGGGCAAAATTACTGGAGAACTTCTCAGCCTTAATTGAGACAAAATAGTGACATCAGGTACAGAAATACTCCAGTTTAAAACACCATTAGATAGGTGATGTGAAAGTGCCTGAAAAATTTCTCAAATAAGAATTCTTGATTGTTCTTCCTGCAAAACTGGGAGGGAATTTCAAGAGAGGTCCTACAGCAGTTTGTCATCAGCCTAATTTAGCTGAGGATCCCAAGTCAAATAGCCATAGCTATCTCTGTAGTCAAGGGAGAATGACTGTAATTTGATCAGCAATTTATATCTTCTGTGGGCTGAATTGTCCTTAGGAGATGCCTGTTTCTTTCCATGGTCTCCAGGAGCAGGCTGGGCTCCTAATTTATGCAGCTTGCTTGATCACCTGAATTTGAAGGAGAAACCTGGGTCATTACTTCTGTAATGTTTGGTGCATTACAACTTTAATTTGAAGTTAATCTCAGAAGTTTCAAAGAGACTATGCCTTTGTGAGCCATCATAGTTAATACAAGGTACTGCTTTGTACTTTGAAGGAACATTTCTCAATTTTTTAACTCATCGTATCTGTAGTGTTATCAACAGAAAACTCATCATGGATCATTGATTTCTAAGTGTATTTAATATTTAGCTTATTTTTTACTGCCTTTTATTTCAAATGGTTTAGTAAGAAAATAATAAAAATATGTTATTGCTGAAAGAGAAAATACATCACCCATAATCAGGGATAAGCTAAACAGTACTAGAGTGTACGTGACGTTTCAGCTTTAGAGTCCTCCAAATTGTAGCTAACATCCCTTAACTATTTAAAACATCAGACAGTTGTGAATGTTAGTCTTGTTTGTTCCTTCCCCCTGGCTTTCATACAATGTTCTTGATTGGTATTACCAGGAGAGTTTTGCTAATTTACACCTGTTGACAGTCCGATGTCCTTTGATAATTGGCCACGTGGGTGAATGACTACCAAAATTTTGTTTGAACATCAAATACCTGCATGCATAAATTGTTAAACTGAAGCATTTTTCCTCCTTTTATAGCATACAATTTAATCCATTATTACTGCCACCTTTAAAGACTGCGTATGCCTGAAAGCAGAACATTAAATAACTGTTTGCCATTAATACAAATTATTGTGTTTTGACAGCTTGCTAATCAACTAAAGTAAAAATGCTGCTATACAAATAGCACAATTGCCTTTTAAGTAACTTCTTTTTAATGTGCATGAGAATTCTTCTTGTTTGAGTCTTTGAGCCCTTATAGGATTTGTCCTCTGTGATATGTTAATATTCAGAAGCATAAATAAAGGTTTATTTGAGTTGTGCTCTGATGCAGAAAGGGTTTCTTAGTATAGTTACTCTGTGCATAAAGTTGGGCAACATTTGACCATCACGTGCTGGCTATAGCTGTTACTTCTGCTATGGACTGTATCAATTAACGCGCAAATGAGTGATTTAGTGTTGAGCAGATTTTGACATAACGATATGTACTTTATGCAATATTCAGGTATGGGCTGTTTCTGGGGAGCTGAGAGGAAGTTTTGGAGACAGAAGGGAGTCTACTCCACTCAAGTGGGTTACACAGGAGGGTATACTCCAAATCCTACCTACAAAGAGGTCTGTTCAGGTAAGCCTTTCTCTTTGTTTTTTAAGGATTGTGAGTAGAATCCTATCAGATTATGAGTGACAACGAAGAGTAAAAGGAGTGACGGCAGCGACTGAAGAGATTTGGTATTTAGTCAACCCTGGTATTGGCCTTGCCACCTAAACTGTAATGAAATCTGTGGTATGCCCATCCCATTGTTATTTCCTAATAATTCATGAATTAATGTATGTACAAATATCTCAAGGAAAAAAAAAAATAATTCCTTCAGGAAATGAATTCTGTTTCAAATTATGCAAGTGTGTTCCTTAGGAGTTTCGATTTTACTTTTGTCTGTATCTGAGTATGAACAAAAATCAGAAAGCACACATTCGTTCTTTTTCTTTCCATATAACCAAGAGGTTGTATGGAGATGTCTAATTTTTCATTTGCACTATTATTAATAATTTGTTAATTTTTTATACAGCTCAATGCACAGCATCCTATCATTTCCACACCAAACCCTTGCATTTATTTTTCACTGCACTCTTATACTAATCCTTCTACAGTACTGATAACCCAATACAGTTTCTTTCTGTGATCTAAAACATAGAACCACTGGCAGCCAACTGACTAATGTTACTGTTAAAGCAAATTCTTGCTTTCCTATACTCGCTGGTAGAGAACAGCTTGGAGGTTTTCTTTTGGTTTATTTTCTTGTTAACACTTTTTATGCCAAATTCTGAAGTTGATACACTGTTCTCACTGACAATCTGTCACATAGGCTTGATAGAAAGAGTGTAAAAAGTTCAGTGGCACAAACAAATAATGGACACTTTAGCAACTGTGCTGAAGTGCTGCAAGGCATCCAAAAAACCAGCAACTTCCTGGAAATACTAAGAAAATTGCAAAGAGGTGTTTTAAGGTGCTGTAGAATAGAAAAGAATATTTCAGTTGGAAATCATCTAGTCTAACTGCCTGACCAGTTCAGGGATGACAAAAAGTTAAAGCATGTTATTAAGGGCATTGTCCAAATACCTCTATTTTATAGAGGTATTAATTAGAAATTGCTGAAGAAATGCTGAAGAAAATATACAGGTTAGGAACAATTTCCAGTGGGAACATACAGCAGTAGTCATGCTCCTGAGTGCAAATGTTTACTGTATAGAAATTTAAAAATATCTAGAACAACAAAAAAAAAGGACACCATGCCTTTATTATTAACTGATGCATAGATACCCAGAACTTCTGCAAAATATAGCAATAAAAAACTTCATCTATGGAAGGATCAGTGATGCCTGTCTTATTTATCCAAATGATGCATTGCTTCCTAATACTTCTGCACTCTTGTATTTTGTATTTTCATCATTTGCCTACACTACTTGTAATTTTTATAAGCATATATAGTCCAAGACCTATCTGGTAATTATTGTCCACTCTGTTCAGTGGACTGGGTATTAAATAATTAGATTATTTGTCCTGAATAGGGATGTACAGTACAAGTTCTCTTTCCCAACACACTCACGGTCCCAGTACACTGAAGGTAGTTACGATGGACTGACTTCAGTGTTTCTCCAAAGATACTGAGTACTGGCTATTGATCAGGGGGAGAGGTGAGCACAGGACAAGATGGTGTAGACAGGCAAGTAGAAAAGGTATCATCTCTTTCAATTCTATGCAGTATAGGCTGGTTCAATATTTCAGAACAGCCCCGTAGTATTGTGAGCTTTAAGCTTGACTGAGATACTCTGAAAGCTTTTTGTATCTATTTTGTGTGTTGTATTTTATCAATGGTGAACAAAAGTTAAAATGTTAATTAAATAATCAGAGTCCTGGAATAAAGAAACAGGAAAAATCTTTGAAGTCTATTTTCTGATAGTTTTTGTTAGTTAGATTTGTAGTGGAAAAACATAGCTGAGGTTATTTTTCTAGGTCTTGTTTTTATACACATTTTCATTATGGGTGTTTATATGCCTCCAGATCCTGGACACTGGAGGATTTTTTGCTCAGAGATATCCAGAAGCATAAGCACATATTTCATAGCCTTGTCTATGTGAACATAAATGGGATGTGTATGTGCTACACATTTCTGTTCCTAGTTGTGCAGCTTGACTGAGTTGGAGAATTTACTGATTTCTGCACGCTGTATTTTTTCCTACTTAGCTTCCTCCAGCTCTATTTTATTCTTTTTTTTTTTTTTTTTTTTTGACAGGGCTTTTTTCATCTTTAAGCATAGTTTTTGGAAGTCTCTTTAAAGAGAGCTCTCACAAGCTCCCCTAAGATATTGCCATCTGGCTGCTTCTAGTTGCCATAGTTTTCGTTGGGAAGAACAGTTCTTATGGAATAGTAGACTTCAGTTATGCACTGTGTGATTGCCACTTTCTTATTCATCTGTTCTGGCAAGATCATATCTATGGTAAACACTTAACAGTCATGTCCTCTAAATCCAGCTCTAGAAAGGACATCAGGGCCATCTAAACAGTATCCGCTTGGCAAGTCTTTGAGCTTCGCAATCCTGAGAATCTGTGCAGGAAAGTTATTTTAGTTCAACACCTTTCTGGCACTCTACTCTTAAAAAAAAAAAAAGCAACAATTCTTTGGATGAAACATTTAGCACTTCTAAAAGCACACTGTCACCTAGACCTCAGGAAGAATGGTGTGGATTTACTCTTCCCCATGCTAAGATCACTCAAAACATACCAACCAATGGTGGCTTTTTTTGATTTGGTTGCCTAAATGTAGGATTTCATGCCATTTGAGATGTTTGAGAATATCCCATGTGCCACACTATAGTCACATCTCACAGTTTTTCATGGATGCTCCCGTTGCCCTTGGACATCTCAAAAGTAACTGGATGCCTATATGTGAACAACTAATTAAAATCTAATGTATCTGTACTTATATTCACTATCCATACTTCTATTTGGAGCTAAGGGCATGGACCATACACTGTTGATTTATGTGCATATGTGCTGCTACATGATGTGGAGGCAGAGGAGTATGTGTCTGCTGAAGCCTAAGATTTCTCAGTCTCTTGTTCTTGGATGTTCTTGGATGTGTGCACAGTTTTGATCATGTATCTATCATCTGATCCATGCACTTTATATATCAGAATCATAAAATGCTCGGATGATTTAGGTTGGAAGGGACCTTTAGAGGTCATCTTGTTCAAACTCGCACGCCATGGGCCAGGACATCTTTCACTAGATCAAGTTGCTCAAAGTCCCATCCAACCTGACTGTGAGCACTTCTGATAATGGGGCATCCACAGCTTCTGTGGGCAACCTCTTCCAGTGCCTCACCACCCCTCGTTGTAAGAAATTTCTTCCTTATATCTAATATAAATCTACGCTCTTTCAGTTTAGAACTATTACCCATTGTCCTGACACGACAGAGCTTAGTATAAATTCTCTCTCCATCTTTCTGATAAGCCCTTTTATATATTGAAAGGCTGCAATAAGGTCTTTGTGGAGTATTCTCTTCTCCAGGACGAACAATTCTCGCAGCCTTTCTTCATAGGAGAGGTGTGCCAGCCCTCTGACCATTTTTGTGGCCTCCTCTGGACCTGCTCTAACAGGCCCATGTCTTTCTTGTACTGGGACCCCAGAGCTGGATGCTGTACGCCAGGTGGGATCTCACAAGAGTGAAGTAGAGGGGGAGAATCACCTCCTTCGACCTGCTGGCCACGCTGCTTTTCACGCAGCCCAGGATACAATTAGCTGTCTATCTGGACTGAAAGCATACACTGCTTGCTCATTTCTAATTTTTCATCTACCAATATCCCTCAGTCCTACTCTGCAGGGCTGCTCTCAATCCATTCATCACCCAGTCTGTACTGACACTGGGGATTGCCCTGACCCATGTGCAGGATCTTGCACTTGGCCTTGTTGAACTTCATGAGGTTCACATCGTCCCACTTCTCAAGCCTGTCAAAGTCCCTCTGGATGGCATCCTTTCCCTCAAATATATCAACTGCACACTCAACTTGTATTACCAGTCTCTAATTTAGAGACATGGAGGTTGTACGGGACCATGTTAAAGGCTGTACAGAAGTCAAGATAGATGGACATCAGTTGCTCTTCCCTTATCCACCCCCACAGTCAGGTGACTAATCAGTCAGGCTTTCTGCTTGGAAAGCTGATCTTTCTTACACTGCAAGTAATAAAGTTACCAGCAGCAAAAGCAACAGGAATATGTTCCATGTACGCTGACTCATAGAACCCCAAAAGGTCCACAATGATCTTAAATAATACCTTTTTCAGAGACCTCTGAGGACAGCACTGCTTTAAATATAATTGATCTTAAAGTCAACAATAACATAGCACTAACATCTGCATTTAAATACCTGTAAATTGAGGAATTACTGAGATGAAGGCTTGGAGCATATTGATTGCAATTTGATATTCTGCTTCACTCTTTATGCTAAATTTCTTAGTGTTGAGTAAGTATCTTCTATAGAAAACAAGAAAAATGCTCAGAGTTTCTTGCTTTTCTTCATGCTTTTAGTATGTTTTCTAGAAAGGAAGTGTTGTGTTGCTTCAAGCGAATACAGATCTGTTTTCCACCCCAGTGGTGTTTTAGTCATCTGCTATGATCTTCATCTGATGGACCTCCCTGGGAAGCAAAAGTGATCTGCAGACCTAGCATGAAGCTATGTGGGGGGACACCATTTCTCTTACAGCAGGCAAGTGGTGGCTTTACAGTTACAACACAGTGTTGGTACCCCGTGTAAACTTAAGCCTCTAAGGGAAACCCTCCAACATCATTATTCTCGAAGAGCAGGATGATTCACCTCCCCATTGGGAAGGTAGGAAAGTCACGATTCTACCTGAAAGAGTCAGATTAGCGTTATCCTATTCAGATGTGGAACAGGTCATTTGAAGATTCTCCTATCAGTTGACGCGGCATTGCCTTACTACATTGATGTTTAAGAGATAATTGAGTTACTTTGAAGCTTATGAATACAGTGCTGGAAATTATTTTTACATTTTGTGGTGACAACCATACGGATGAAAATCTGAAAAGGCATTCTGGAGTGCGTAAAG